TTTATCAACCCCCCACACCCACACCCACACCCCACACCCACACCCACACCCACACCCACACACCCACACCCACACCCGCACCCCACATTCATACCCACACCCTTAGTTAAATATATTTGATTATTTTCTGTACATTTCTCTACTGAGTCAATCCGAAGGGTACGGTATTGTCACAAAATTCGGAAAAAAAATCCGGAGAAAAAAATCCGGAGAAAAAAATCCGGAGAAAAATAAATCTGGAAAGAAAATCCTGAAAAGATAAAATCGGGAAAAATTCTGTAAAAAGATTCAACAGTTTATTTAACAAAGAAACATGTACAATAAAGAAGAGAAATCATTTGATTTGAAGGGAAGTGATGTAGTTCACTTTTTACTAGCCACCAATAAAGAGAGTCCCTCGAGATGTTTGGCGCGGTCGATTTCATCGTCCTCGAAACGTTTGGCAAGAGTGTTGATTTTAGCTTGTAAAGCCAGAGTCTTCTTCGTCGTCGTTTTTTTGCGCACCCGTTAACACCTTGAGGACTTGTTGCCGAAAATGCACTTCTTCGTTTTGCAAGCAAGTGACGAAGGCCCACATGTTCGGATGATACCTGTTCATTCGTTTGTTGAAACGATTATTCCATCCTTCGACGTTGTTGCTCGTGCGCACGTTTAATTCGGTCACATTCCATACGCTGAGCTTGACGTTCTTCATCCAATGGTCTCGAAAGTAGTCGATGAGATCATCGATAGAATCAGGCGCTTCGTCTGCTACCTCCTCGAAGCCGAGTGCGACCTGGTTGAGCGGAAAAAGAGCTAAAGCTATGCGTTTTCGAGCACATGAGCGAGCGTCGACGTCATTCTTGTAAAGGTTTGCAAGCCCGAGCGTTTGGATTCTTCGATGAATGGCCTGACAGTAGTGGAAATAACAGCCATGTTGATGGGCATTGGGAAGCTTGGTCTTGAGGACTTTGATCAATGCAGGTTCGAAATCGGTCGTCACCTGAGTCGGCTGGAAGGCAAGGTTGAGGCGAGCGGCGTGTTGGTGAAGAATACCGAACATGTGTCTGTAGTAGAACGCCTTTCTTTCCGTCATGAGCACGATGACACAGGCGAATGCGTGATCCTGCTTTATCCCGTGAATGGAATATACTTGGGCAAAGTGTTTTGGAGAGGTATCAAACGTGCCATCCATCAAGATATGTGTGCACTTGAATAGAAGGCGTAACTGCTCGTCAGTGGCAAAGGCGACGACGCTCTTGCAGCCGGAGCCGATGTCGGGTCAGAAGTGATCGGCGAGAAGATAACGTTTCCCATCGAGGATCTTCTTGTAACGTCGTGGGATGTAGAAGTCGACCGAGGTGGGAAGAGCCGGCATTTCCATTCGCCGTTGAACATTCAATGCTTTCATGGCTTGGTTGGCCGTAGGTGCCATGGCAAGTGCTGCGTTTGACAGTTTGGCCTTGGCCAATTCCCCGTCGTAGATTTGACCGACGGCTGTTGTATCGGCTTTGACGCGGGCCTTGACCTTGTTCATCATGTGACGAATCCCGATCTCCTCTGGCACGGGAAGATGGTAGTAGTTGTTCTTCTGCTTCATCAGCTCGCTTGTCTTCGAGTTCGTGTGAGCGGTGGCTGTACAGTGCTTGGATTGACACGCCCAATAGGTGATTGCCTCCGTGTCCTTGCCGCTCTTCTGAAATGTATAGCCGTCGATAACGAGAAGAGGCTTGCCCTTGTTGCTGCACACGAAGGAGTGAGTCGGTTGCGCGTTGATCATTGTGGATGAAGAATGTAGAAAAAGAGAAGAAAATAGAAAATAAGAAGACCAGATAGTTCAGTGTTGTAGAAGTAAGATTGATGTGAAATATGAATAATAGAGATGAACGACAGTGTATTTATACATGCGCGCTAAGTTAACGATCAGCGGCGTGTTCAGCGCTATCGCGCGTCTGTCTATACATAATAATAGAAGCGCAGAGCACAATGAAGTAGAATGATACGCGGTGGACGATGATCATGGTTGACGTAGACAACCATAAACATTTATGAAAGAATATTATCGTTCCTCCTTTGTTATAAGGATATTGGAGATTTTTCCAGATTTTTGTTTTCAGGCTTTTTTCTTTTCCGGTTTTTTCTTCTTCGGCTTTTTGTTTTCCGAATTTTTACTTTCCAGATTCCAGGACATATTCTTTGGCAGAGCAACTTGGATGGTCTCACGTTGCAGTAGAAACACATCTGCACGAATTAGGCAAAACGTGGAAATACGGAGTTTGGATACCACATGAGTTGTCGCCGCTTCAGCTCCAACACAAGGTTGATGCTTGTATGGAATTATTAACGTCCCATGGCAACTACCAATGGCTCCACAATCTTATTACTGGCGATGAGAAGTGGGTATTATACATTAACTATGCGCAGAGACGCCAGTCGCTGAGCGCTGGTCAAACAGGAGCAGGAACGCCTAAGCCTGATCTACACCCTAAGAAGGTAATGTTGAGCGTGTGGTGGAGTGTCAATGGGATTATTCATTGGGAAATTCTTCCAAATGGCTGCACCATCACTGCTGATCTCTACTGTCAGCAATTGGATCGAGTTGCAGAAAAACTCAAAGGAAAGCAAGATCGAATTTACTTTTTGCATGACAATGCGAGACGCCATGTTGCAAAGTCGACGCATCAAAAATTATTGGACCTCGGATGGATCGCTGTTCCCCATCCACCTTATTCTCCGGTCTTGGCTCCTACGGACTACCACCTGTACCGTTCTCTATCTAATCATTTACGCGAGAAAAAATTCGACGATGAGAACGATCTCAAAATGGATCTCCTCAACTTCTTCGGCCAAAAATCCCAAGACTTCTATGAACGCGGAATCCTTTCTCTACCAGAGCGTTGGCGACAAGTCATAGATACTAACGGAGCATACATTGGTGAAAAATAACTGTGTTCTTGAAGATAAAAAATAGAAATAAAATTTTCGAAAAAAGCGAAAAAATTTCTTACCAATCCAATACATCATCATTCGTGCGTGTATGTCCTGCTTGAATATTTACTAAGGTTCGTTTGATATTGATACAGATAATTTTTTTTTCTTGATTATAAGCAGTTCTTTTATAACAGACCAAGTTGAAGAAGATAAACATGACAATGATGAAGCAATTAATAACAATCAACAATCGACAAATCCTCTTTGTCCTGGTGTTATTCGAGGAAAAACAAATCAACGTAATCCATTCTATGCACATATATATGTTTTTGATAATGATTATCCTGCATTGTTATCTGATATCCATGATGATGAAAATAATAATAATGATGATGATCTTTTTCGATCTCATGTAGCTCGAGGTGTTTGTAAGGATTCCCTGGCAGATACTTCCAGGACAGTTGCTTCCGGGACACTTGCTCCCCAATGGCACTTGCTCCCTGAACAGCTGCTCTCCGAGCACTTGCTCCCCAGAGAAACTTGCTCTCCAGAGATACTTGATCCTCGGATACTTGCTCTTCAGCGACACTTGCTTCCTAGCCGTATTTAACGAAACTGCTAATCAGGATGTGAGTGTGGGTGTGAGTGTGTGTGTGCATGCGGGTGTGGATGTTGATGTTGATCATCTGTTAAACAACACCCACACCCACACCCACACCCACACCAAACCACACTCTTTTATGCTTCCCGCCGCCTGTGGGTATAATGCTCACTTTTATGATAAATAAATAATTCGACTGTTCACTGCGATACACAAAGAATTGCAAGGATGTAAATGAAAATCATGCAAAAAATACGAACTGAAATGTTTATTCTGGAAAGGAAAACACTAAAAACATTTTATATGGAATTTTCAGCATGAAGATTAATATCGTACTCAAATTATTTTAAATACTATTCTTGTAGTACAATAAAGGAGTACTGAATTACATTATCGGTTTCCAATGAAGCTATGTAGTAGACGGCGTAACTTCATCTAAATTGGAATAACTATTCATCATATGAACTAGCCGTTTCAATAGATGACTTGACAAAAGATTTATTGATTATGTTAAGAGTATTGGAAAGTTTTCAGTTCATATCAATCAAAAGAAAAACAAAATCAAATGAATAGTTTGCGTCAATAAAACTGGCAATTGAATGTGTTCTATTTCAAGCTCGGATGATGTAGTGAACTGTTTGGTAGGGCGGCATCTTATCGATAGATTGACCTTGTCCTTGTGAACCTGTTGAACCACTGATGGTATGGGTATGATCTCCATTATACTGTATTGTGATGCCTGTTGTGCCAACAGGAATCGTATGGTAGTGAGTGCTAGTGTCACTGCCAGATCCGGAGGAGCCGCTTATTCTATAACTGCCACTACCCATAGAACTGCTCCCAGTGTTTCCTCCATGATTATGCCCTGGATCGCTAATGGAATGGGTGTGCCCACCGGTGTTCTGCGTTTGTAATGAACCTTGGTCATGCGTATGAGCAGGCAACTCCGCTATTGTTAAAGTGTGCGATGCAGTACCACCCGAAGCGAAAGAATTATCGGTTAGATCGGCGCTTCCGAATGGAAATCGAGCTCGTAAATCGGGCAGATTAAAAGTACTTATACCATTGCCTGCTCCATAAGTAGTACCAATGACAACAAACAATGCACGATAAGTTGATCGAGATACTTCTGAGCCATTACAAAACAACCATCGATCATCTGAGTCGATAAGTTTCGATGCACTACCACTATACAGAAGAATTGTACCAGTTGGCACCTCTACAATAAGCAGTTTCTCATCAATCTATTGACAGTTCATGTTCCATTTTGAAAACTCTGACAGATTAAGATAGCAGAAAGCAAAATGAAGGGATCATATAGGAATAGAAAACATGGTTTTCAAATTCTGTTCTCCTCTTAGGTGGTACAATTTCAAAAAGTGTAACTCAATCAGATTTTCATGTTCAATGTAAATGAATAGATTTTGAATATATAGTCGAGAATGCCATGGATCGTGAAATTATTTTTACTTTATTTTGTGAGTGATTCATCATGCCTTACTTTTGTCTAGACCAAAAATAAGAGCCAAGACTCCAAGAATAAGACCGGCAAGCGCAAAACTACCAACAATACCAGTCATCGCTATATAGCCAATCATTTGCCTCGTTTGTTTCATGTCTATTCTAAAAGAGTGAAACCAGAACTTCAAAGTCAAAGCTATCCTCCATTTCATTTCACTTACTCGTTTTCGAGCGTCGGCAACGTTGGCACTGCTTTAGTCTGAGATTGAACCCTACGGGTATTCTGTGTAACTAGGTTCAACTTTGAATTGGCACCATCATTTGTATTTCTTTCTGAAGGTAGAATTGGCCTTCGAAAACCATGGAACTTTTGTAATCTGCGCCTAGAAAAGTTTTAATGAACAGAAACTATACTAGAGGGGTGGAACTGTTGCTGAAGCTCTAAAGATGCTCATAAGTGGTGGATCGCTGCGAGCATGTATCTACTAAGTTTTGTTACGACTGTTCTGCTCAATATCGTTTTATTTTTTTGAACAAAATACGAAGCTTTCAAAAGAGAATTAGCGCATCATTTTCCACAAAAGCGACCTTATTCTCTGAAATGATGAATTAATCATATTTCTTAAGATCATTTCCTCAGTCATGATTAAAAACTCTCTTTGACCTTACAATTCCTTACCTTCATAAAAGTACAAAAACATAGTATTGTAGTGTTCTCTTTCGAGAGTGTCAATATCATCTTAAAAAAGTCTTTGCAATATTTCAAGTCCGAAATTCTGATTTTCCCACCCAATTTTATTCGTTAGTAGAAATGTTTCGATTGATTGTATCGAAGTCAAGTGGTGAGACTATGGGGGTAACGGGAGACCAGAATTTCGGCCCATGGGATTTTCGGCCCGGACTTTCGGCTCATCCTTAAAATGACCTCATTGACCCCTAAAAAACAATTTAATTCTTTTAATTAATTGCTAGATATCGTAGTGCTGAGCAGGACGGTATAGTGCTGAGCAGAACGGCGTGGCGCTCAGTGGCATGGCGCAATGTTGAGCAGAATGTCATGGATGTGAGTGTAGGTGTAAGCTTGTGGGGTGCTAGTGTGGGTGTAGGCGTATGTGGTATGTTCGTATCTTTTTTGCGTTGATCGGCGTCCGCAACTATGCCCATGCCGTCCTGCTCAGCACTACAATATCTAGCAATTAATTAAAAAAATTAAATTGCTTTTTAGAGGTCAATGAGGTCATTCTAAGGATTGGCCGAAATTCCTCTAGGACTTTCGGCCCGGCCCGAAAATTCCGTGGGCCGAAATTCATGTAACCCGGGGTAACATGTTATGAGGTATGTAGAAAAATAGTCTTGTAACAAAAACGCTTTGAATAAATCTCGATTTACTTGACTGCCGTAATTTCTTTCGAATACAAAACAATTATTCTAAAGCAAACTTTTACATTGTTTTCTTTGAAGCTTCCGAGGTATCAGAAAAGGCGTCGTCAGTCCAAGCACCAGTACTCTC